GAGAATTTTATGCTGATTAAGAACCGTATAAAAACATAGGTCTGAAAATCAACAGAAAGTGCTCTAATTTGATGTTGAAGTTTGTAAAATTACACTAAAAAACGCTAATATTCGCCATTTTTCAAATACGTTTTACATCAAAGTTTATATTTTGAAATCGATCGTTAAGAAAATCTTTTTTTAATTACGCAACCCGGTTTTTTTTTTGTCATCAAAGTTAATTTATAATTGAATCAAATGTTCTTATGAATGTATTTTATATAACTTTAATTATTTTTCTAAAAATAAATTCAAATATTGCTTTTTAAATGTACATACATCGACTGACAAATAGGGATTGGCACAACTAAATGCACATACATCGACTGACAAATAGGGATTGGCGCGATTAAACGTACATGATTTGGGACAGGGTTTGGGTTTGGGCAAGGGATAAATCAGAAAATGACGCGCTGAGCATTTTTAAACAGTTTTGCATTAAATTGTTGATAGAAACCAGGCTTTTTTAAAATCATTATTGAATATAACCGAGAATTGAAAAAAATGGCGAATATTAGCGTTTTTTAGTGTAATTTTTTAAACTTCAAGATCGAATTAGAGCACTTTCTTTTGATTTTCAGACCTATGTTTTTATACGATTCTTAATCAGCATAAAATTCTCTATCATAATCAACAATAAAAAATAGGCGGAGGGGGGGGGGAACTGCAGTAGCGCCTAAAATATTCTCTGTAGTTAAGAACCGTAGCCATTTTAAAACTTCAAAAGTTTTTCGTATCTTCTTACGCATGCGTATCTAAACATAGCGCTTTTTACTAATATACGACCGTGTTTATAATTTGATGGTGCTTAATAACTTTTTTTAATTATACAATACATACCTCCCCGAAAGACAAGTGTTTATGAGTTTAAATAATATTTGCAACTTACTAATAGACATAAACCAAATTTACCATTTTTATTTTTTGAATTATCAAGACTCGTACTTACGGCTATAAGTCTTTGTTTTTCAAAATAATCACATGAGATTTGGTTAATGTAAATTAAATAATAAAGATGGGGACACTTGAAATACCAATAAAAATGCTAAAAAAATCCAAAAAAAAAAAAAAAGTAAGGAAAGATTGCGTGAAAGTATAAAGAAACAAAGATTAGCATCGCATAAATTAGGACTTGAATGTAACTGTATAAGGCTGAAATGCTTCGATAATGTTAAAGAAGAAGATAGAAAAGTGTTAATAAGATATTTTAACTCTCTAACCAGCAAGGATGCTCAAGATTCGTATCTTGCAAGTTTAATAACTTTAAATAACGTTTCAAGAAGAAGACCACGAAACATAAATTCAAAAGGTTATAATAGCAGTTACAAATATAAACTTTTTATTATAAATCACGAAATACTTACGAGTTCGTTTATTTATGTTTGCTTTTCTGCGTTTATTTTAATCTTTGGCATAAAGAATGAAAGATTGGAGACCATTAAAAGAAGCCTTTTAACTAAAGGTAAATTATATATTTTCATTTAATATAGAATGCATATTTTTAATGGAAGTTTTCTTATATATAAAAATTATTTTTTCTCATTATAGGTCACTCTTCCCATGATAGAACAGGTAAACATAAGAATCAGTATAACAGTTTTACTCCTCAACTAAAAAATAAAGTATGTGATCACATTTCTTCTTTCAGAGGTAGAGAGTCCCACTACTCTAAAAAAAAACTAGGCAACTATATCTTCCTCAAGAATTAAATATAACCAAGATGTATGACTTGTTTGAAATCAAGTATGCAAATGATAAATTGTCATATGAATCTTATCGCAACATATTTAACAATAGTTTTAACATTTCTATTGGGTACCCTAGGACTGACACGTTCTAAACGTGATGAGTTTAAAATTAAAATTGATACAATAAAAATTGAACTATCTTTGAATTCAGAATGTATAAAGCCTAAACAACAGTTGCATGAGCTTGAGAACAGAAAGAACAGCACCACAAAGATGCAGAAATATTTTGTGTTAGAAAAAGAAATGCTTGGTTTAAAGCACAAAGGGAGTACAAATTTGAGGCAATTGTTTTTGATTTCCAAAAAAATCTTAACTTACCAAATCAGTTAACCAACAACTTTTACTACAAACGAAAATTAGCATTTTATTTTAAAAAACCCACTTCGTTTCATGTTATAGAATTAACGCAAGGTATGGTTAAAAGTATAACTGATTTTATGAGATCATTTTATAAGAATAAATGTCCAATTCCAACTCGTCATCTTTGTGAAATTTGGTTCAGACTCAAGTGGCATTGTATTTCATCGTGATTCGTGGAATGGATTATTGTTAAAAACTAATTTAAAAAATAATAGGAAGAACACTATAAATAGTGAGATCCCCATTCTGTATAATGCAAAACTTTACATCTCTATGGCAAAGTACAGAGATTTAATTTACAAGTATTAAAAAGGTTTACATCCAATGATCAGGTTTACGATTCTTTGCCATACAATCAGGAGGTTATCAAGACATTTCATGAAAATATTGATTCTGAAGATGAAGAGTAAATAGACTTCTTTTTTAATTTAAACTTTGTTTTTAATTGTTTTTTTCTTAGTGTTTCTTGATAAATTTGCTTCACTTAATATACAACAATTTATATAATTAATAATCATAAGATATTAAATATACATATTTATATTTTTTCCTTATTTATTTAGCCGTACAAATATTTACATGTTCCGTGTTTTATAATCTATATAAAAATGGCAAGGACGAGAAGAAGACAGGTTTGCCTTATCACCAAGTCCCTTTTTTTTTCAAGATATTTATATAAAAACGTTGTAACTAAATATTAAAAATTAAAAATGAGAGAAAAAAGCAAAATGTTTCAAAGAAGTTTATACAAAATGCAAAATAGTTTAATAGAGTCTTTCAAAGTTATTTTTAATGTTTAAAAAATATTTTTAATTAATTAAAAAGTTCTCGAATATATATTTTTTAACTAATAGTCAGGGTATGAAAATAAAAATTCAGATCAAATAAATACTAAATTGTTTGAAAACCTATAAAATTTTAAAGCCCCTTTATTATCAGGAAAGAAACTTTGCATTAAATAACTTTTTGTGCTTACAGTTTCGTGACACCTGTATAGTTATAGTTATATAGGTATTTGATAGGTTAACCTTTAAATAAAAAACAAATTGAAATTTGTCATCAACAGTGATATTTTTGAATGAAAGATTTATAATAAAAATTAAAGTCTTTCGTAAACGAGAATTAGAACTACTACTATAATTAGACAACTCTCGATATCTCGAACCTCCAATGGACCGATTAATTAGTTCGAGATAGAGAATGTTCGAGTTATCGAGAGTATAACCCATAAATAAGTAATTCGACTGGATTCAAAAAAGTTTGAGATATCAAGTATTCAAGATACCGAGAGTTGACTGTATGTGATATTTTCGTGCACGAAAAAAGAACAAAAATTGAAGCTTTTTGTTAACGAGAACTATAATTATTTTCTAAACGAAAATATCAACACTAAACAGTATTTTTAATTTTAGTTCGATCCCCTAGACTTTTTGAGGGTCAATATTAGGTCTTGGTGGTGAGGTTGTTTGGTTTAGCTTCTGACTAATTTTCTATTAATAAATATAATCAATATTATATTAATTTTATTAGCTTAATTAACTAATATTATTAATTAGCTAATATTAATGTTATTAGCTTCTGCCTAATTTTATTTATAAGCTAATAAAAAAATAATTAACATTTTATGTTTTTAATTGATCTAAAAACTAATAAAATAAAAAAAGACATTTTACCGGGGAAAAAAAGGCTGAGTCCATAAAAAACCTCACTTAAAAAAAAAAGTCTATATCGTAAATTATTATATTTAAATTAGAAATACAACTTTAATTGCGTAAAAAAATAGTTTTTTTTGTAATATATCTTAAAAATTTTAATCCTTTCCCTAAAAATAAAAAAGTTATATAGGTTTAAAAGTTTAAAAATGAGTTATCGCAAAATGAAAAAATTGTGACCCTGCCGTTTCTTCCCGTGGAGTCTTCACTTATTATTAGCGCACTTTTTCTTGGTGCATCAAATTATTTAAAATTTATCACGTAATACAAAATGGCTGAAATTAGAGAAAGTTTTATAGCTGTTGGAGAAAAAGTAAACAACCATCTTACTAAGGGAAAGAAAACAAAAAGAAAGGCAGTATGTATTATTTATTTCTGAGCTATAAGTAATAAATCTTTTAATCAACGCAAGTCATATTTCTTTTTATATCACTCTTAGATGTCTAATACACGGGAGCGGACTTTGACTAATTTTTGTAAACTTTTCCCATCCATCCAAGCTTATTAAGGCCACCCCCCCTCCCCACCGTTTAATAATTTTTATTTTCTATTAACAAAAATAACGGTGGAGGTGTACTTGATTCACGTGCGATTAAAACGATGATTTATTTTAACCGTCATTTAATTGAATTTAATAGTTTATTTCTCTTTTATAGAAAAAGACCCAGAAGATGAGTATTATACTATATGCAATTGTCTTAAAGAAGATGCTGCTTGTCATCATGTTTAATTTCTTCATTGTACAGCATTTTCTTTGGTCAAAATTTTTAATAAAAAAACTACAACTTTTACCAGTGTTTTGTTCGTTCCCATTATTTTATACTATTACTTTTTTCAATAATTCATGAAAATCAAAGCTTTTTCTTTCAAATCATTTTAATGCTTTTTAAAAATAAAAAACAAATTTTATATGAATTCAATGAAGCTTATATATATATATATATATATATATATATATATATATATATATATATATATATATATATATATATATATATATATATATATATATATATATATATATATATATATATAATTAAGCGCTTAGAACAGTCGTTTTGTAGGTATACTCCATTATGTATCATGCATGATGTCTAATTACCCAGTGAAGAAAATGATGAATATCCAGAGTATAAAATACTTTATTATATCTTAGTTTATTTTGAAAATATAATTATAATTAACTTATGAACCTATACATTTGTTATTTGTTTGTAAAAATATATATATCCTAGCTCCTTTGGAGGTTTTTCTGAAATTGCAACTTTTCTATCATTGTAAATCACCCATCTAAAAAAAAATAAAGCAATCTATGATAAAATACTTATTTAAATATAATTTGTAAATATCTGAATTCAGTTTCAATATCTAAAAAATCTGCACCTGTTATCTTTATAAATATGACAAACATAATGACCGCAAGAGGTTGATGTTCCCATGTGGCTAATAAATGCGATTAATCTGTATTCTGTAATAAAAATCATGCGTAATTACATATTATACAAAATAACGAAAATTAAATTTAGGATTTTATTTTTCATTGTCGCATTATTTGTAATGAACTAATTATTTCAAATTTAATGAGTGTTCTTTTTACTTATCGTCCCTTTTTTATTAACAAATATTTATGAGAATTATTTAAAAAAAACAACCTTATATTTTATATATATGTATATATATTTATATATAGTGTACTTGTGTGTGTGAGTGTGTATATATATATATATATATATATATATATATATATATATATATATATATATATATATATATATATATATATATATATATATATATGTATATATATATATATATATATATATATATATATATATATATATATACACTATTTAAACACACAACTCTCTCTCTCTCTCTATATATATATATACATATATAAATATATATATATATATATATATATATATATATATATATATATATATATATATATATATATATATACACATATATATATATATATACATATTATATATATATATATATATATATATATATATATATATATATATATATATATATATATATATATATATATATATATATATATATATACACTATTTAAAACATTCACATACACATACTATTTAAAATATATATAACATAACAATTATTACTTCCGTCATTCAAGTTTCCGTCAGTAGCATCACTGATATCTTTTTCACTTTCATTAGCTTTTTCAATCGGTAGAGTTGGATCACAATCTTGAGTTGGGAAAAACTCATCTTGTTGAGAAAATATCCAATTTGTTGCAGCTTCGATGTTATTTTGCTAAACATAAAACAATGAGTTGTTATAAATAAATAAAATAATTTTATTTATTCTGTATCAAATCAAATAACAAAAAAAGATGGCAAAACTCATTTTAAAATGACAGAACAATTGCTATAGAAGTGAGTAGCTTAAATTATTTATTAATCAGGACATATAATTTTTACAATAAATAGTCCTGTCAGTTAAAACAAAACAAAAAAAAAATTATTTTACATTTTTTTGTAATGCCAATATAGCAAGTTCTTTTCCAAAACCCATTGAAACAATTAAATCAATAGCAGAAGGATCCAGAGAGGAGGGTTGTGAGAAAGATGGCTGAACAATAGGTGATTCAAAATCAGGATCTTCAGAATGCTCAAAAATCCAATTCATGGCTGCTTCAATACCTTAATTAAGGAAAATAAAACATTAAATTTCTCAACAGAATTTTTCATTCTTAATGAAAACAGAAGTCTTTTAATTCTTTAAAAGATAACTCTGTTATCCACACCTTGGTATAGATAACCAGTGATATAGCAATAACTTAACATAACAAAGACATGAAGTACAAGGTAATTTAGTGTAAAAACAATAACAGAGCATCATGTTCTGCAGCTTTGAATTTGAACCTTAAATTCTGAGGAAAAAATTAAAAAAAAAATGTCAATGCAACAACCTATGGCTATTTTCAGTTTCCAACTTTATTGCTTCAATGATTTTGCTGTCATTAGTTGCTGTAAATATTAACTAATTTGATTAATATAACTTTAATTTTTATTGAATTTCATCTCTATATGCTATAAGTGATTTAATTTAAGTAACTTAAATCTGATTATTTTTTATTATTAGTTTTTGTTGACAAATTTAAGTATCTAGGTCATATAATTAAAAAAAACAAAACAATAAAGCTGAAATAAATCTATATAGGTGTACAAATAATCTTAACAGGCAAATTAAGAATCAAGGTAAAAATTTTTAAGACGTATTTAAGATTTAAGACGTATTGGCTTTGTTTGTATGATATAACTTTAGTGTAAACATTCTGTTAAATCTACAATCTTGTTACAAGAATGTATTATATGTTTTTTGGCTATGACAAGTACTCAAATGTTACAAATATGTGGAATTAAGACTGCTTCTTCTAGATACTTTTTGTTAAACTGTAGGCATAGTCTTAAAAATCAGCTTCTCCTCTGCACCAGAAGCAATATAGTTAAGTGAGCAGTAAACAGAATTGATTATGCTATCTTTACTACTTGTAATTGTTGTCTGAACCAAATAATTTATAATAATAAATACAATATTATTATTGATTTTATTATTTGATAAAAATGTGATTTTGAAATTCTCTATTACTTGACTTTTATCATCACTATCATTATTTATCATTTATTACCATTATTACTTATGATTGTTATTATTACTATCAATAAACAAATGTGCGTATACATTTACCATGTATACACTTTAAAATGTTATAAATAACATTAAACTTCATTTACCAAATTTAATTTAGAAATAAATAGTAATATTTGTTAAAGAAATAGTAATATACATTTAATTAACAGTAATTGTTAAACTTTGGTAGGCTTAACAAATTACTATTTGCTATTCAGTTAATGAAAATATTATTTGCCAGTGCTATGCTATTTTCTTATTTTAATATAAAAAGGAAAAAGTAAGGCAACAATCTGGATAGAATAATTTAATACTTATAGATACAATACTTTAACAACTGTATGACCTTCCTAGTGTTAACCTGTTTTACAGACCAAGACTTTGTGCATTTAATGGCTAAACAGGACTTAGGAGTAGTTGAGGCTATGAATATTGTGTGCGAACTTTTTCTAATACCATAATTATGACCATAAGGATCAATAGGACCATTAGCCTACTCTACATGTAGGTACATCTAAATCTAAAAGTTTACTCAATATAGAAGCTTTTCTAAATGTAAAAGTATTTTTGAAAATTAAAAGCATCCAATCAGTTTTAACTGATGCTTTATTGATTTGATCAAAAAATTTAAGATATAATAGCATTAGAATAAACCATGTTCAAATATTGCTTTTTTAAATTTTTAAAGTAATTTAGCAAAAACTACAAATAAACTAAAAACTTGATAAGTTTACCTTGATTATTAGATAATATAACAGCTTTCTTGCAAACCTCAAATGAAAAACCCATATTCATTAATTGACTAACATACTCTTCATTAGCAGTTGGCCCTATGTACAAAAATTTGAGAAAAAAAATAAATTTGATTTTAGTCAACAAGAACTAAGGTAGACAACAAAAGTTAATTGAAAATTTAATAAAGCTATTACCTGGGGCAGATAACTCTTCTGATGGAAGCAATTCTTCACCAGGTTGCAAACCATTACCTCTAAGATGATTTAGATCAAGCTCGTCAGGAACATCAACCATCACATCTAAATAAGAAAATTAACTGAAGACATTCCAAGCTAAAACTTTATGATGTTAATTTTCAAAAATAAAACTGTTTACCAAGTTTTTGCGGCATCCAATCATCGCCTGCTGTAAACTTTTTAAGTTGCACAACTAGATATTGTGGAAATGTTGCAAACCTTATCTTTCTAATTTCGAATTTAAAAAAATTTTATAACTTGACTAGAAAAATAATAAAAATAAAATCTTAAAATAATAAATAATAAAAATAACTATACTTTTTAGCAACAGTGTTGGCTTTCACAGCAGAACTATAATATCCTTCAATTATATCATCAGCTATAAATGCTTCTAAGCAGGCAGACATCGGCACTTTTAGTCTGACAATAGAATTAGGCTCAGTATAGAGTTTTTTCTGTTTTGCTTCTTTGTATTTTTCGTCAAATTTTTTAAACTCATCTACACAAAGAAAATAAAATAAAAAAGGACTTAAACAAATTCAACAAATTCAAAAAAAAATTTTTTTTGACATTAAAACCTTTATTTGTAGCTGCATGAAGAGGAACAGGTAGACTTAAGACCATATCAGTTCGTCTTGAATAAGACACCTTGTTACTCTGCATGCACTGTAGTCTTTCTTCAAACTAAACCAAAAGTTTACAAACAATCAAAATAAAGAAATTAAAATTATAACTTTTAAATGCAATATAAATATACAAATAAATGAGTTTGTTACTTGGAAACTAAATAATTTATGTAATGGTGTCGACAGATTATCTTCAACTTTATTAAGTAAATGCAAAAAAAATTCATGAGCATCTTGTTGATGGTTTGTTGAAAATTCAGCATGTCCTTGTCCTATCAATGATTTTAACATTTGAGGACGCACACCCTAAAGTAAAAAATATTAAAAGTAATTTTAAAACAAATCTCAGCAATTTATTAAATATTTTTTCATTATTCATTTTTGCAGATGCCTAAAATTAACTGACAGTTAAGTTTAAGCACTTGCAAGTTTTTCAACATTTATCAGATGTCTTACAAAAATTATTATTTTGCAATAAGACAACCTAGTCAGTTGGGTGGCAAGAATTAAAATAGATAAGTAAACAATTTATAAATAAGATAAAAAATACAACAGTGGAAAAGAACACAAATCACTACTCAAAAAAACACAAACATAAAGGTTTTTTAAAATACTGTCAAATAAAAGCTGTATATTTTGTTTACACCTTAAGTTCTTTTTCATTCATAAAATTTAAAAAAATACAAGTGTGAATTCTAATGCTGAAAATGAAAGAAAAAAATAGTAATAATAAATAAAATTGGACTCATTAAGATTAAATATCCATTTTAACAATTTATTAAAGGAAATTTGTCAATCATTAGTCAAAAGAAAACTAAATTTTAATTAGTTGGAAACTTTTTCATTATCTCTCACCTATTCCTATTTTTCTACTTTGCATAAACTGCGTAAACAGATCTTATCTTGTGAATTAGCAAAAATAATAAACAAAATTATTGGAATAATTATTTGAAAAGATTGTACAAATAAAAAAAAATCTCCACCAGAATAATTTCAATGCTGCATAAATATGTTTTTAGTTAATAGTTTAACAATCAAAACCATAAAGTTTTAGAAAATATTAAATAATAAAAAAATAAAAAAAATAAAAATAAAATAAAATAAAAGGATTAAACTTATGCAAAATAAACTTATATAAAATATAAACTAAGAAAACTAAACTCGTTTATAAAGTTATTTGTTATTTGAGAAAGTTATTTACCAACTGATCCTGATTTTCGTACTGGGGCTGTGAATAAATACCACTCAATAAACCTGCTCCAAGTTTAGCAAGTTGAATATTTAAATCTAATGGAGGTATAGCTTGAGAAGTTTCAAAAATCTGCTCTGACGGCAAAGCAAATGCATCTTGGAATTCTTTAAATGAAAACAATACTTGCATCACCGAATTCATATAGCAGCTATAACAAAAAATTATACACAAAGTTCACCTTGCATAAAAAGAAAATTTAAGGAAAAATAATCTTACATAAAAAATACCTTTGCATTGAATAAACTTCACATAAAAGATGATATTGCATAGTAGATAGCTATGCACATATAAGTTATAACTAAAAAAAAAATTAATACCTGTTCCCTAAATTAATCATTCCAGTGTAGCCAGGTCCATATAGTGGGACTAGCTTTTTTCCAGATTCTTGTATTGCATCCCATTCTGCTTTTAAAGACAAGTTTGCTTCAATTTCTAACTCTGTCATTGATTTATCTGTCTAAAAAATTAACAAAAAATAGTGAACTTCATTTGCATTACACAGAAAAATAAAAAAAATAAGAATTAATGAAAAATAAGACCAATAAATTTCAAAAAAACCTTTTTTAACTGGTCAATATTTATTCCAAAATGGAGTAGGTGCTGAGATAATTTTGGATCTTCCACCATATCATCCTCGTCATATGAATATACATCCCCACCTTCTGCTGTTATTGTTCCAAGTTTGACTGCTAATGGATAGCCTGTTTGTTTGTAATAGTCTGCTGCATGATTGTTACCACCCGATCCTAAAAAATATCAATTATAATTTTGGCTTTAAGAAACTTATTTGTTTGTTATTCTTAAAACTATTTTAATATAAAAACCTAAAAAAATAAATAAAAGAACTAAAATTTCTTTAAAAAATAAAATCTTTAAAAAGTTTATGTTCTTTATAATAAGTCAAGTCCCGGATGAAAAAAAAAGTGTAATTGATAACTATTTAATTTTTTATTTCAATTGTAACCTGCGTGGAAAATAAGAAATCAAAAGTCAACTTGACCAGCTAACACATGGAATTGATGGTCAATTTTTTTCTTGGACGGTCAAAATTTTTAGTTTTTCCTTTGTTTAAATTTTCATCTGAGTAATAGTTCTTAATTGAAACTAAACACACAAAAAATACTAGTACGTTAATTTTTAATGCTCAAAAAATTAATGAACTCGTAATTGTTTTAAGATAACAATTTTAAATAAAATTAATGTATTTTTGAAGCTTAAACTCGAAAATAACTAACCTTTAAATCACCTGATAATATTAATTTGTTAAAAATTATGCTCGTGCATGCAGATTTTCTTTCAATTAAAAAAAGAAATTTATTAATATCCAAATAATGTAATGTTGAATTTTTTTTTAATATCAAAAACAAATTTTATACAATATTAGAAAATTTAAATTGAATACTTAATTCTTAAACAAAACGTTTTATAAATGCTAAAGAAAAATGAAAGCGCTGTTTGTCTCTTTTTACTTGCCTTCATTAAGACGGGTTGATGTTTGAAGTTTCTATTACAATTCAATAATAGAAAGGAAAAAAAATAGTAAACCCACAACTGATAATTTTAAAGTGAGTTTCCACTCATTTGTTTTTTTACGGGAACAAGAAAGAGATTAATTTGTCCAAAAGGAAACTACACATGCTCACGTTATTATTTTTCCATTTCCTTTCACATTCCCCTGAAAAAACAGATGAGTGAAAACTCACCTTTAAATTTATTTTAATTCATTCATTGCTTCTCATCGGCAGGAAAAAGCTACAAAAAAAAAAGACAATAAGATTAAATGATAAAGAAAAAAAAAGTACAGTTGGTACATTTGGTACAAAAGTACATTTAAAAGAAAAAACATTTCTTAGTTAAATACAGCAATTATTATATATTTTTATATTATTATAAAAATAATATATTAAATATTTTTATTGAAACAATAATAAAATAAGAACTTCAATCGTTCATGAAAAAGAGGTTTTTAACCACCAGTAAAATAAAAGTAATTTAAATAAGTGAAGTAAAAAAAAAAGAAAGATATTTTACGCCATAAATTCATCAATGAAGTAAAGTAAAGCAGCATGTCACACACAAAACTATTTTAAATGCTTATTTAAAATTTAAATGATTTTATGTAATTTTAGTACAGTACCTGGCCACAATGTTATGATCACCTACAGTTTTTGTGTATTTTTAACTTCAAGGGTTTGTAAAAAGTATAAAAAAAGTACAATTGCAATATTAGTTATATTTTATTGATAAAACATGTTTCCTTAATAACAAAATAATATTTCAATATCAATATACACACATTTTAACAAACAGTTACTCTTTTTGATTGCAAGTCATAAAAAAATATTAATATTTTGTCATTCCTCCTTTCAACGAAATGACTTTAGCTATTCGGTTTGGCATACTTTTAATACAGTTTATTGCTGCTGTCTTAATTTTTTCATTGTGGTGCCAATGATAGAGCAATTTTTCAATCAAATCCTTTTGTTTGTTGAAACCTCAGAAGAGATTTCTTTTTTGAGAATGTTCCACAAATTCTCAATCGGATTCAGGTCAGGAGAGTTCCCTGGCCAATCTAAAACGAGGATATTTTTTGTTTTAAGAAAGTTTGTGATCCTTTTAGCTTTATGGCATAGAGCACTATCATTCATAAAAATAAATGTATTGTTATTTGGAAACCATTCTTGTATTTGGGGTATAAGTTGACTCTCCATAACCTTTTGATACTGTATTTAATTCATTATCCCATTGACAATATATAGTCTTCCTGTGCCTTTACCACTGATAACTGAACACACCATAACTTTAGTTGGATGTTTAATAGTTTGTACAATGCAATCTGGATGATATTTTTCGTTAGGTCTTCTTCGTACGAAGGTGGTTTTGTCCAACAAGATCTCAAAAATTGATTCATCTGAAAAGCACACCTGAAAAAACCATCATAGTGAGGTTGTAAATAAGTTTATGTCAACATTTAAACACTTTTTTAACAATATTTCATTCAAAATTGATAAACTTACATGTTCCCAATCTCCAATAGTCATATACTTATGATTTTTTGCCCATTGCAATCTCTTTTTTATCATTGCTGGAGTTAGCCTTGGTTTTTTAACCGGTTTGTGTGATTTTAAACCAACTTCAGCCAGACGTCTCCTCACTGTGCACTTCGAAATTTGTATTCCATACTCCTGAACAAGTTTTGACAGCAAGAGGGATGATTTTTTTCTATTTTCCAGACATATATCTCTTATAATTCTGCCTGTCCTGGAAATGGTTTTACGTTTTGACCCACTCCGCCCTTTCCTTTTTGGAGAAAGAGTGATGTCGTTTTCCATTTTGTGTTTGATTTTATTGACAAAAGGTTTCAAAAATTTACACATTTTTGCAATTTCCCGTTGTGAACGCTCTGAATGTTGTAAAAGTGCTTTTACTTCTGAAATTTTGCTTGGACTTATATCCTTACCTTTACCCATGTTTATTTTTTATTGAAATTTTAAATTACAACCTGTTACAATAAAAATGTTAATAAAATGGTACTATATATTAATTCTTGCTATAAGTAACTTTATAAAATGTATTAAAAATAATAAAACACTTTTCACTCAAAAAAACTGTTAAAATGTAAAAAAAAATGTATGTGACAGATCAACCACATTTTTTTTTTTAAAATTAACAAAAATTCACATTGCTGACTTAAAACACACCTTACTTCACATTGGTCATGATTATAAATAAATTTATCTTTTCTATTTTATTCGATAGATGTCAGTATTGTATAATAAGTTAGTAATAATAATATACTCACCTTAAAATTACTTTAAAATAACTTTGAAAACAAAATAAGTGGAAAAACTAAAGTGATCATAATATTGTGGCCAGGTACTGTATATGCATTTTCTAACACAATTACACTAACACAAAACCTTGTTTTTCAAAACTCTGATTTTTTTAACTGATCAAACATGACCAGCGAGAAATCATTTTGGGAGATTGAAATAGCAATTTTAGTCACTTCAGGGGGTTGTTGACCGTTGACCGGTTGTTATTTTCCACGCTGATTGATTACTATTTAGTATTTTTCTTTCTTTAAAATCCTTTAAATTATTAAATAATATAACAGCTACCATCAAAATATTTTCTTCCACATAAAATAGTTCCATCTGTCAAATTTAGCCACAAATTAGTTGTCAAGTTACAATGGGCACACTTCCATCCTCTAAAAAACCATAAACTCAATAGCATTTAAAAATTAATCGAAAACTTATTAAAAAATGCAAAATTAAATAAACCTGCAAAAAAACAACTGAATAGAAACTTTTTTTTTAACCTTATATATAACAAAAATTGAAAACAAAAAATAATAATATTAAAACAACATCAAACAGGACTGTTTGATGGTAATAACAGAAGTAAATGTGAAAAGTTTTAAAAACTGAGTGTGCAAAAATCAATTATAAAAGTATGTATGAGGACTCCAAGAAAAAATAGTGAATTTTATTACCTTGGAAAAACCTTCACACCATTGTTAAGTTGTTTTAAATCCATAGCATGCCTAGAAACATTACGTTTCTCTTGCCAAGCTTGTATTGTATCTTGAACAGTAGCTCCTTGTAATGTCAATACTGCTGTAATTGAAAGCTGAGCCTAAAGATAAAACAAGAACTAAATATAATACCACTATTCTAAATGTGTGCAAAGATTACTGTACTACTGAAATAAAATATACATTGATTGGTAAAGTTATGTCTGGAAGACTCCATCGCTTAACTTCTACTCCATTCAAGTCAGTTAGCACCAGACAGTTGACATCTTCATATTCTGT